TTTTAATTACAGATTAATAAAAAGTGGCAGCTCTTTGTAAGATCTTACATTGTATAGTTTTAGAATCCTACTTTTTAGCACAGATGGAATTTGCTGTTAACTCCTACATATGCTTCTGGTTTTGATTATTGTATCTATCTGTGGCAGGTGGATATGTTAAGTGAAATTAACATTGCACCCCGGATTCTTACCAATTTTACTGGAGTGATGCCACCTCAGTTCAAAAAGGATTTGGATTCCTATCTTAAAACTCGATCACCGGTCACTTTTCTGTCTGATTTGCGCAGCAACCTACAGGTTAATTGGTTTGACTTAAATTTTCAGCTGTGTCTGTGAGTGGTCTATTTGGGAGTCAACCAGATTTAAAAATTTCTCATGGTTGGATGAGATTCACTGAATTATGCATTATACTAGTTCATCTTATCAATGATACAAAGCCTTAGAAGAGGCAACCAGGGGAACAGGATGATTTTCTGTACGAATACATGGCTGATAATGGTTCCCTTTCAGTACTCCCAGATGATTATTGTTGTTTTTAATATTTGTTTATTTTTGAGAGACAGACACAGAGCATGAGCGGGGAGGGGGAGGGAGACAGGGAGGGAGGAAAGGGAGACACAGAATCCAAAACAGGCTCCGGGCTCTGAACGGTCAGCACAGAGCCCAACGTGGGGCCTGAACCCACGAACCATGAGATCATGGCCCAAACCAAAGTTGGACACTCAACCAGCTGAGCCACCCAGGCTCCTCCCACACCCCATGATTGTTCTTAATAAGGGGATTCTGTCTTAGTTTGCGGGTTTTTTTTTTTTAAATTTTTTTTTTCAACGTTTATTTATTTTTGGGACAGAGAGAGACAGAGCATGAACGGGGGAGGGGCAGAGAGAGAGGGAGACACAGAATCGGAAACAGGCTCCAGGCTCTGAGCCATCAGCCCAGAGCCCGACGCGGGGCTCGAACTCACGGACCGCGAGATCGTGACCTGGCTGAAGTCGGACGCTCAACCGACTGCGCCACCCAGGCGCCCCGATTTGCTGTTTTAGAAAAGGACTTGAAATCGTGTGGTCTTTCCACACCAGAGTACCACTTTTCCCTCTCTCTAGATTATTTTTTTCTTCAAGATTTTAAGAATGCCCCATACCCAACATGGGGCTTGAATTCACAACCCTGTGATCAGGAGTCACACACTCCACCAACTGAGCCAGCCAGGCGCCCCTCCCAATATTTTTTATCATTGAGATAATAGACTGACTTTATAAACTGTACTTTTTTGCTGGCACCTGTTAAAGCTTTGCCTTCCTGTTACTGACACAACCACCCATAGACAGATGTGTTAATTTGTTCAGCAACCTCACAAAGTCAAGTAAATTTCTAAAAGTTAAATCCCAAAGAACACTGAGAGCAGTTCAGCTTTTCTGTGAAGGCGTAAAAAGGGTTTAGAAACAGTGAGTCCTCTATGAAAATAAGGAGTTTTCTGTTTTGTTCATTTAGGTATCCAATGAACCTGGCAATCGTTACAACCTCCAGCTCATCAATGCACTGGTGCTCTATGTAGGGACTCAGGCCATTGCACACATCCACAACAAGGGTAGCACGCCATCAATGAGCACGATCACCCACTCGGCTCACATGGACATCTTCCAGAACCTGGCTGTGGACTTGGACACTGAAGGTGAGTGAAACTAGCCAATTCTCAGAGTTAAGTTCTCTGTACTGTTTGCCACAGTCTGGTCATAGAAATACTTTGTCATAATAGGCATATAATATTTTGTTAGTCTGTTTATGGCTCTGGCTATTTTCTTTTTTTGGGTGGTGGGGAAACTCTTGCCGTGAGTGTATAGTGGAGTTTTCCAGAGGCTACAGGAAACAATACTGGAGCAGACTGAACACAGGATTAGAAGAATCCAGCTGTCTTCTATTAAATGACATTAAATAGATCTGTGAAATTAGGGATATTCTTCCCTGATTTTTGGGGGGGGGCGGGGAATGCTTTTATTAACATGTATTAATATGCAGGGTATCTGTTTTTAAATATTTCTAAAAATTGTAATGTGGAAAATAAAAAAATATATCTCCCAGAAGTGGAAACCTGAGAACCACTGGTTGAAACTAAAGGACACGGGAAAGGCCAGGATCCCAAATCCAAACCCTAGCCACTCAGAATGATGTCTTTTTGCCTTGGCCTCTCAGAGCAAGTCTTTAATAGTTTGTTTTCTGAATTTCTAGGTCGATATCTCTTCTTGAATGCAATTGCAAATCAGCTGCGGTACCCAAATAGCCACACTCACTACTTCAGCTGCACCATGCTGTACCTTTTTGCAGAGGCCAACACTGAAGCTATCCAAGAACAGATTACAAGGTAAGGGAGAAGTTTTTTGGATGATTCTCAATGGTTGCCTCTTCCCCTTAACTTATGCATCGAGTGTGTTTTCTGTGCACTGTTCGTTGAGATCTTCTTTGTGTCCATTTAAAACATCTTTTACATGTGGGATATGGGATACAGTAGTGAACAAAATGTACATTGATTCCTACCCTGGTAATTAGTCTGATGGACACAGAATTACAAGTAGAGAATTACAAATCATAATCATTGCTAAAATAAAAAGGTTTTGACAAAAGGTATAGGTATCTTGATTGAAAATCAAGTTTCTCTCAGATGGTAGCGATAACGTTTTTATCCAGAGTCCAGAATTCACATAGGCCTATTAAAAGGCATTTTGTTAAAGAGTTTGGGCTTTTTCCTTCATCCTCTAGGTTGAAAGGTTTGAAGGAGAAATAGAGGATTGTACTTGGCGTTTTCCTAATGATAAACTACACCAGAGATTAGGCAATGGGTGGATTCTGGTGAGAGAGATACACATTTTAAAAACTGGACCAGACTTTAAGAACCTGTCCCTTCACCTAATAGTTTGTGTATTACAGTATCTCATTAAATAATATCCTTATTTTCACACATACCCAGGTAGTATTAGAATTCATTTCTTTTCGCTGGTTGTGCATTCCTTAAGTAGCTTTCTGTGAGCCATGTAATCTGATACTATTACCCTTTAACTTAGAAAACCTAGATTTGTATCCTGCCTCTTGCAGTTAGTGAGCCTGGAAGACTAATTTGGAATCCACCTGCATTAACTGCGATATATCGTTTAGATCTTAATCCACCTGTCTTCAGTAAAGCTAGTAACTTTTGCATGTAGTTTAGTAATCAAGGAGAAAAGATAGGAATAAAGGTAAAGGAGAAGTGTTCATAAATTTCTAGGTTTCTCTGTGCATTAACTCATCTTTTCTTCCCTTCAGGGTTCTCTTGGAACGGTTGATTGTAAATAGGCCACATCCTTGGGGTCTTCTTATTACCTTCATTGAGCTGATTAAAAATCCAGCGTTTAAGTTCTGGAACCATGAATTTGTACACTGTGCCCCAGAAATTGAAAAGTGAGTTCAAAGTGATTTGTCTAAGAATGAAACAGATGATGGCTCTAGCTAGGGTGGGTGATTAAGAGGGTAATAATAGCCAGAGCTAATGTGACACAAGGGATTGCCAGGCCTCAAGTTTTATCACAAACTTGTGATTGTCTCTATTTTTCAGGTTATTCCAGTCGGTTGCACAGTGCTGCATGGGACAGAAGCAGGCTCAGCAAGTAATGGAAGGGACAGGTGCCAGTTAGATGGAACTGCATCTCTGCTATAAATGTGTCAGCCTGGAGGTCCCACTGCACCAAGTTCATAAACTGGCTGAAGAATCCTTTCAGCTCTTCCTGACTTTCCCAGCCCTTTGGTTCTCGGGTACCTGCCCCAATTACTGTTTGGGTCAGCTTCCTGTGTATGTGGGCACGTTCCAAAGTTTAAATGCATTTTTTTGACTCTTGGCCAAAATTTAGAAGATGCTGTGAATATCATTTTGAACTTGTGTAAATATATGAAAGAGAAAACTTTTGTCTGGAACTTCTTGGGTTTGTGCAAAATGTGTCCAAGGCAAGTAGATAAACTTGGTACCTGCCCAGCTTGTAACTGAAAAGGCTGCTGATGCCATCCACTTGTCTGGGGACAGAACAATACAGCTCCATGTCTTCTGACATTCCTGGTGTCCCAAAGAATAGCAAAAAAAAGCCAGTTTAAATATTGTGTAACTTATTTTTTTAATGTGGACAGGGGACCTTGAAAATCACAAAGTTGTTAAAAATGTGTATGTGCTACTATTTGGTATGCTTAGGGGACATGGGAAGAGCTCACAATTGAGATCCCATGGGTTTTTGTTTTGCCTCTTCCCCAAATCTAAAGCCGACTGCTGGGAGAGCATCATTTTCTCATTTCTACTGGAGAACCTGCCCCCTTAGGCCCTGCAAGATGCAGTCAGCTCTTTTTATAATGTAAAACCGGACCAGGCCTAAAAGTGCCCCTTTCTTCTGATCCTTGTAATTTGTGGGAAAGGGAACTAATAGTGTATGAATTGCCCTTCCCCGTTATCCCAGTAAATAGCCCTATATAGGCTATGTTGAACAACAACAAAGTCAAAAGGACCAATACAGCCCCTTTTGTAAGCATTTTGAATGTTTTGTAAATGTATTGGTCCACGTGTTGTATTTTGTAGCCTTTCTAGTTCCTGGGCTCTAGCTCCCATTACTTGTATGTGTATGCATACTGTAGTCAAAACATTAAAGTCATGACACACACATGACTCCACTGTGCCTTTCTCAGTAGTAGCAGCAGCCAGTGCTGGTGGTGAGGAAAGTGGACAACCCAGCCTCGCAGAGCCTGTTGCCAATGGGAAACGTCACTTCTTGCTGCATGGTAGATCACTTACATGAATCTGGCATCTTTAAACAAGCAAGGAAGTGAATTTTGTAGTGTTTCAGCAGTAGAAAAATCATTGGATCAGGTTTCTATGGTTAAATAATTACAAAACATTTTTCATACCCTTTGTCCCCATGGAGTTTTGATAATATATCACATATACCTACTTGTTTTAAAAAGTTTTTAAAATTTACACTATTTAAAATAAAATATACCTTAATAACTCAAGTTTTATGGCCACAGAGGACAAAAAGTTCAAGACTCAACAGCAGAAATCTTAATGGGGCTTGAATGTCATTGGTGGCTTAGGGTTTCTTCCCTTACCGGTGGGCTGTGCCATGCAGAGGAAACTTCAGACTCCTGAGGAAGTACAGTAGTTGTTGAGTGCCAGTGCCATATCATACCCTCTAACAGAAAAATGAAGTCTTGGAGTGGGGGGATGCTTGCTCAAAACAGACCCAGGTCTACCTTCAAAGTCCACGTTGTTATTAAATGCTAGACTACAACAGGAACCTATTACTATCACATTTCTTCTAACCTTTGGTTCAGACTGAGAACAAAACAGCTATAAAATTCACTGATCTTAGTAACAGCAATCTGCAAGTCTGCTGTACCCAGTCCTTAAACAGGTCACCCTTATCTCAGTTACCCCTAGCACACCACCTTTGTTACTTTTCCTGTTGGTATTTATTAAAGGAAAAGCAAAAGACCCAGATTTTCCTTTTTTTCAAGCATCAATGAATGCGAGCTTAGAATAAAGTTCTTGTGGATGGTCTTTCAGGCAACAGGGAACCTGCTAACTTGTCAGTTCCAACAACTGGTGTAAGATCATCTTCTGACCATAGCGAACCTGCAAGGCCTGCTGTTCCCTCGAGCTGAGTTTGGTGTAGACCTCCTTGTTACTTAGTAAATCTTGTTCAGATTTTAAGTCTGTGGCATAGGTTTGCAGGGTCAACAAAACACTGTCCCGAAGCAGCTGTCTCCATGATGCTTTCAGCCTGGGGATATTTGTGACTGTCAAGCTCTCCTCTTCCCTTTTATCATCTCCCCATCCATCCTGGTCTTTAAACTCTCTGAACTCCTCAGCAGGCATGCATAGTACCTAGAAGCAATCATTGGGCCCTTTAATTTTGAATCGCTGAATTTAGAGAAAAGCCAGACCTATCCTGGCAGCATTTAAGTGTCCTCTCCCTCCATCCCACCTTTCCTCTTTCATGTAGTTCCAAATATTTCATCTATTCTCAGCCCTTTACCTTGAGTGTGGTGGTCAGTTCCTCTTCAGTGAGCACCTCCTCCCGCCCAATTACAAAGGCTCCCTCTTCCCCTACCATCTCCAGTTTGCATAAGAAATCCCAGCGTTCATACAGTAGGAGCCTTTCAGCTTCAACTTTTGTTCCTGTAGGTAGAAAAGCAATGTTGTGTAAGTCTCCATATACCCACCAGTTCATTTCTTCTTCCATCTACCCCACCCAGTCTACCAAAAAAGGGGCAACTGCTATTTAAGAGCGCTTGGGGTGGGGACACAGACACGTCCATCAGTGTAGTGTGCAAGACTTAATCCGACACTCACCCAGTAATGCTGCTTCACGAACTGTCACCATCTGAATGTCAGCTGTGTCATCCGTGTTGTCGGGATATGGTTCAACAAAACCATACATATGAATGAGTTGCCAATTAGCCATTTGTCCATAAGTGTTGAAAATTTCATGGCCTTTAGGAATGGGCTGAGTGGCCACCATCCGAAGACAATTCTGGGGTGGAAGGGAGAAGCTGGGACTAAGCCCTTCCCTGGCCAACCCACGAAGATAATTTCTGTGTTAGGAAAAGCCTCCGGTGGGTGCAGTTCAGCAATGGGACTGATGATACACCTTCCAACATTCTACCTTTTTAGTTCCTGTTAAGATCCTGTACAGGCATACCTCAGATTATCCAGGTTCAGTTCCAGAGCACCACAAAAGAGCAAATAATGTTAAAAGACAAAAAACCAAAAACAAAAGCCAACTTAAATGAATTTTATGGCTTCCCAGTGCATATAAAAGTGATGTTTATGGGGTGCCTGGGTGGCTCAACTGGTTAAGTGTCTGAATTTGGCTCAGGTCGTGACCTCACCTCATGGTTCGTGCATTTGAGGCCCAAGTTGGGCTTTGCACTTACAGTGTGGAGCCTGCCATGGATCCTGTGTCTCCCTCTCTACCCCTCCGCAGCTCACGTACTCTCTCTCAAAAATAAACATACGTTTAAAAGATTTTTAATAAAGCTTACGCCATACTGTAGTCTATTAAGTGTTCAACAGTATTACATCCTAAAGAACAGAAAAATGGGCTTTTCTTGCTAAAAAAAAAATGCTAATCACTGAGTTTTCAGTGAGTTGTAACTGCTGGGATGAGATCACCAGAACAAATGTAGCAACAATGGAAAACTTTGAAATCCTGCAATTCTTGCAGTTACAATTCTTCCAAAAGTAGGACACAGACATGAAGCAAGTACTGTTAAAAAAGCGGCACTGACGGACTTGCTCAACACAGGGTTGCCACAGACGTTCAACCTGTAAATGCAGTATCTGAAGTATAATAGAACAAGGTATGCCTGTACAGTAGGATGAAAGGGGTAAAAGTCGCTGGGTTTTAAAATTGAACAATTAAACCAAGATCAAAGTAGAAATGGCAGATCGAGGCAAAAATTAAAAAATAGCCATTTCCTAAATTTTGATTCCATAAACTTGGATCTGATCTTGCAACTTTCCACATAGCAAATGGAACTGATATACCCTTGATATCAAGTTAGATTTGACCTATGACCATTCCCCTTTCCTCCCTCTTCTTTCCCCAAAGTAGTGACAGTATATCTGACCCAGGCTGCTGTCCACTGGGCCCCAACACGATCTTGGTTCACTGGCACTACACAGAGGAGCCAACCAACCTCTAGCACCAAGTAAATGGCAGTAGCTTATTACAGAATTAACCACAACTTTCTCTGCGGGTTTTGAAGTTTTGTGTTCTACTTCGTTGGAATATGCAAACTCAAAGTACATAACAGAAGAACTTCACCTACACATTTTTAGCCTGAGGAGAATGGAGCCCACAGAGCCCAACTGTCAGGGCAGCATCAACGACCAGCACTGGTTTGAATCAAATGCCTGATCATCAGTGCACATAATAACAATAACTGAGAGGGATCCACTCACTGGAGAGTATTCTAGATTGGCATTATGATTGGCTAAGTGGTTTAGTATGTCTGCAGCAGGCACCATCAAAGGGGAGTTTGGCTCCTTTTCATCCTCCTCTTCCTCCAGTGGTTCCTGAAAGCTGCCACAGAGAGAACTTTGCTAAAGCCCAGGGTAGGGTGAGAGACTGGGGTGTGGTTCACTGTTCTTTCCCCTCTCATCCCTCAACTGAGATCTAAAGAAAGGAGTCCTTCAAGGTTCGGCTCACTGACCTGTACGCCATCACAAGAGCCACGAGCTGGTGGTAGAGTTCCAGGGAGCGAACCCTGGGGCTGAAAAGATCCGGGTGGGCTTCCATGAACGGCAATACGATGGAATAGTATTCAGTGCGGATGCTGGCCAAGTCCTTCTCCACCGCCTCGGGTACGCCCGTGCCCTGCAGCAATCGCCGACGCTCCTCCTCGGGCCTGCGGTGACACCCCAGCCAGGCTCCCTTCACACACCCTACCGGGACTAGCGCTCGTGGCCCGATCCCCGGGCCAAGGCGGAGCGAGCCGCGAGGCTACGGGGCCGGTGCTCCCCGCCCCCACCAAGGCTCTCACCAGAACATCGGGTGCTCCAAGCGGCCTAGCTCCGGCCACATCGCAAAGTAAGGGCTCCAGGGCGAGGCCGGGGCCTGCAGCTCGTGCAGCAGCGCCAGCAGCAGCGGCACCCAGCCCGACTGGCTCTGCAGCGCGCCTCGCTCTGAGAGAGACACAGAGGTGAGAGCACCGGCGCGGCCCCGCGGCACGCCTCCCCGTCGCACCCCGCCGGCGCACCCACCTTGCTCCAGCAGGCCGCCGATGGAGCAGGTGTGCTGCGACAGGAGCGCGGCCCGCGGCACGGCAAACAGCAGCTCCCCGGGCTGCACGCTCTCCCGGGCCACCATGCCGTAGCCGGCCACCGTGCCCTGCCGGCTCACCGCCACCTGAGCAGGGGGAGCGGTGGGTCAGGGCTGGACTGCGCCCCAGCCGCGTCCGCCCGCACCCCCGCCTCCTCACCTTGGGACTCAGCTCCAGCCCCACCCGCCGGCACCAGCTCAGGAAGCCGGCCACAGGGTCCGGGTCCGGGTCCGCGTCGCCTCCCACAGGCCCCGCCACCTGAAACGAGCCAGCGCGGTGGAGACGATCCGCCCAGGAGAACGCGCGGGAAGCGGGAAGGCATCGCAGCGTGCGCGCGGAGAGAAGTTCGCTCTGAGTGGGGGAGGGGACGAGGAGGGCGGCCAGGGACCTGAGCTAGGGAGCCGCAGGGACGCGCGGGACCGCACTGCGGGCGGGGTAGGGGCGAGCCGCAAGGGACACGGGCAGGCCCCGCTCCGGCCCCCCGCAACTTACCCGCCGGCGCTTTGCCCTGGTCGCCATGGCGGAGGGCGCGCGACCCAGCCGCTCAGAAGCTCCGCGCTAGCGCTTCCGGCGTCCGGGAAAAGGCCTCTCGGGGGCGGGGCCACAGGCCCCGCCCCGGCGCCACGTGTCGCGCGCCACGTGACGCTCGCCTCCTGATCCACGCGGAGGACGAGTGGGGATTTGCACCTGGTCAAATCATTCTTCCTGAGCACATCCTGTGGAGCCCGAGTGTCCCCAGTTGGGTTTAAGTCGGGTCCGATAAGGCGTGTCTCTGTGGAGCCTCGAGCCTGGTTCTGAGCCAACCACAACTCTCCCCTTCGGTCTCTATGAGCTGAGACATTTCGGAATAGAAGTCCGGGTAAAGAACAAAACTCCCGTTTTCCCGGTACCAACCAAGGCTGTCAGCGCACCCAGGTGGGCGACCAGCCTGCCTTCCTGATCTCGAGTCTCCGTTAGCTACGGTCATCTAACCGTTTTACACGGAGCAGGTTGTCAATGTGCGTGCGTGCGTTTCGGAGTGTGGGGGGTCAGGTTGTGTGTTTCCCAGGGGCAGGGGGAGGGTTCCCAGAAGTAGAATAACCCGCCTCTGCCCGCACTCGCTAGTATATCCGTTTGTCATCATTTGCATAGCACATGGTGGGTTTTATTTTTATTTAGATGCTTATTAGTTGACACATAGCAGGTATGCAATTATGTATTTATTGAGTAAATGAGTGAATGAGTCCGAAATGGTGGTTAAAACCTGGGAAAGTAGCATGCTGTTAAGTAAATGAAGCATTGAATAGAGAGTGTTTTAAAGCCAAACAATGCCAAAGCCAGTTCTCAGCTTTACAATATTATTAGGGTAAATTCCTTCTCCTGAGGCTCCGTTTCCTCAGCTGTGAAACTAATATCTACCCTATGGAATTAATGTAAGAATTGACAAGATAATGAATGTGATCAGAACAGGAAATAGGTGGGGCACATGGCTGGATCAAAGTCGGTAGAGCAGACGACTCTGAATCTTGGGATCTGATTTCAGGGTCCTGAGTTCAAGCCCCAGGGTGGGGGTAGAGTTAAAAAAGAAAAAAGAACCAGAAATAGAAACATGGATGGACACTCCTACATATGCAACCCCATCTAAACCTCAAGAAGCACCAGCCTCAATGCTGCCTTCTCACGAGCTTCCTATGATGGGCCTGGTGTCACCACACTCAAATTCTTCTTAGTTTATTAGTTTTCCATACACTTAACTCTTAATACTTTGACAAGGGTTTTTATTTGTTTTACATTTTGTCGTCTCAAAGTTTCATGACATCAGCCACCAGAATACACAAAATTAGGTTCTTCGCTTTATATAGACAGGAAAATAATAAATTCCATTAAAAGTTCACTTTGACCAAAGAGACAACCTCCGATGGAAAACCACACGCAGGAAGACCCAATATACATATATATATATATATATATAATGTATAGATATTTATAGATATCTTATCTGAAAGAAGACAGAAAAAAAAATCCAAGATTTGCAGCGCTATCTACAGTTAAGAGGGATTAATTCTACCAGCTTTTCAAACAGTCACATTTGATATTCAAAGGAAGCACATGAGTGAATAGAACTGGGGACAGACTAACACTCCACCAGGCTCTAGAGCAGTCTAGTAATGGCTTAAGATTCTAGAAGGGGGTGATATGTGCAGAAATGTGGATGCAGGTGTCCTCTCAGCCTCAGAGCACCCCACACGCAACTGTCCCCTCCATAGCACTGCCTTTATCATTGCTCTTTTACTTGTTTTAGACTTTGTGGCAATTGATTTAGGCTCCAAGACAAGTGGCTCCTGTTTCTGGGCCAGGAGATTCTCCCTGATGGTGCAGGTGGGTTGGATGTGTGTGGCTCAGTCCTGGGCTTCAGGTGAAAGGAGGGGACTGGGGTACATGGAGAGCCTTTCTCCTCTGCCTGGACCTTGTTCTCTTTTGGAACCTCCACCTCCCACCCCAGGACCCAGCAAGCCCCAGCCCAAGCCACTCCAACAGTCCTGAGATGGTGATGTGGGCCTGCAGAAGTCTCACTACCTTAGACCATTTCTTTCCAGATAAAATCTCTTCTTGCTTAGTGATGCCCACATAAAATGTTGGCATAGCTTGACCAGAACTCTCCCTAACAACACCATGTTTCTGGTGGCCTTGGACACACTGCTGCTGATTGGGTTGTCCTCCATGGAACCTGGGGACAAAAGAGGGGGTCTGCTGGGAATCTCAGCCACCACTGTCTCTAGTCACATACTGGCTCCTGAAGGCAGATACCGTGAAGTTCTCAGGGGTGCATCCGACCTTCATGGGCTATCCCAGCATTTAAGTTCAGCCCCCAAGTCAGGCCCCTATGGAGATACAGGATCAGGTGACTTTCTACCTCAGGGCCTTGGCTCAGACATGGGACAGGGCAACGAGGTGGTGGAGTGTGTGGGCTGGGACAGTCTGTGGGGTTCCTGCCTGTAAGGTCCTCTGTGTTTGGTCTTCCTGGAGCAGAGAAACCCTGTTCAGCCCCTGCCTGCCTGTCTGCCTGGCCCTACATCACCAGGCTAGCCCAGAGAGCACCAGGAAAACTGCTGCCTGGTCAGAGCGCCCCCTTGTGGCTATGGTTCAGATGATTGTCACATGTGCAAAAGACAGAAACAGATGTGCTTGGTGGGGGAGATGGGGAGAAAGGGGCCTGCAGAGCTCCAGGGCCCCTACCTCCTAGTGCTCCCCTGTGCTGTCTCCTGTCACCCCGGTGCCTGAGCTGGACCCCATGCTCCTGCTGTCCCAGCACACCACCTCAAAACCCCATCCCATCTTCAAACCTGCCCTGCCCATGGGGGTCATCCCATGCTTTCTTCAGTCCAGGATATTACCCTGGATCCTGCCCAGAGAAGGACTTGAACTCTTTCCTTAGCAGATCCCCTTCCTCCCTGAGCCCTGCCCAGACTGTGGGGAGTTGGAAGAGGGGCCTAAGTCAGCCAAGTTAACAAGGTGAGTGAGGTGGGGGTGGGGAGGAGCGAGCCTCTCAAACCATCTGGAGACCGTTCTGCTGCAGCATCTAGGATGAATCCCCTCACGTTTTTAACAAAAGAGAAGTGAACCCATTTCCTCCCCCGGCCTTCACAAAAATAAACTAAAGGGAAAATGAGCCGGCGCGAGGATGCCAGTGGGACGTCGATGCGGGCGGGGGCAGGTGGGCATCTCTGCCGGGCTAGGGGCTTCAACAGGACACCTCCATGGTGTGATTGACCTGGCCCAGCCCCTCGCTGCTCTCCGAGTGGGTGCAGGCCTGCGGGCGGCTGCCATCCACTGAACCGGCACTGGTGAGCGACGCGGTACGAGAGCGGGCGAGGCGGGTCATGCTGGCCGAGGGCACTGTGGGCAGAGATGGGAACGGGCATGAGGACTGGCAGGCGGGTCTGGGTGCCAGCAGGCAGGAGAAGGGTTGACACAAGCAAAGCGGCAAGACCCGTTTTTCCAATGGCACAGAGGCCCCTCCCAAGCCAGGGCTCTGGCACCTGCTCCATCAAGCCGGAGGCATGCAGCACCAGCGAGTGAATGAGCCAAAGAGGGGGGGACCGGGCACCCCGCAGAGGCCAGCGGGACCCAGCTCACAACAGCTGGCCAGAGCTATGGCCAGAATGGGGTCACTGCCCGGGTACCCCTGAGCTGCTACAGGGACGGGACAGAATTCCAGCGATGCCCCCCCTCAAGAGGATGATGGGACAGGGGAGTGGGACTACTTCCGTGAAGAAGGACTAGGTGTGGTGGCCACAAACTGCCCTAAATCTAATTTCTGTCCTTATTTGGAGTTTCACGAGCAAGACGCTCAGGGGCAAACTCCACCTCCCTGAACTCAGCTGGCCATTGGTCCAGCTGGGGCATGGTCAGACACCCTTGCACCCAGGGCCAGGCCTAGGCTTTACCTCTGAGAGGATCTGGTTCCAAATGCCTGAGCTCTGAAAGCCACGTGGCCCATGGCTACCCAGAAGCCAGACCGCTCTGAACCCCAGCCAATCTAGAGCCCTGACATGGGACGCAGCCCACTAGGTCCAGGATCTGTGAAAAAGCACGACTCTTTTGGGCTTTAGGAGGCGAGCGGGACACAAGAAAGTTCCAAACCACAGCAAGATGAGGCCCGGCCGCAGCGCTGCACAGAGGAAAGAGCAAGGGGTCCTGGGGTGGGGATCCATGCATCAGGGGAGGGGCCACAGGGCTACCTGCTCCTCCACTCAGCCTTCGGTCCTTCAAGTATGCAACTAAGAGAGAAGACAGAGCCAGAGGGGTGGGGCAGGGTGGGGGGAGACACAGAACACGGGTGAAGAGCGTGATCCGGCGAGGCCAGGGTGTTGCGAGGGTCAGGAGAGAAGACAACAGGACAGGAACAGAGCGGGCTGGGGCAGGGCCAGAGCTTTAGGAAGCCCCCTCCTGCCCACCCACTGAAGCAGCAGCCCTGGAGGGAGCCCTGATCCCACGGTGGAGGCACTCATCTTGCTTCTCCAGCCTGGGCTGTGACCCTGAGGGGCTCTTGGTGACAGGGCTAGTGCCAGCACCCTCACCCTTCTTCCGGGCCCCAGTTCCCCCATGTACAGAATGGGGGAGGCCTGCACAACCTCCTAAATCCTGCCCAGCTCTCAGGCTGCCTGGTGGCATTTTGCCTGGGGTCCTAAGAACATGTCCCAGCCCAATAAGCTTTGCTGGTCTACCCATCCCACAGATGCTCACGGGGCAGGCCCTCGGCTCAGGCCCAGCCACAGAGCTCCTGCTGTGGTTCGCTGTTGGCTTTGGCCTCTCTTTGCCCTACATCCCCACAAGAGGCTGGCAGGCTCCTGGGGGGCCAGAGGGATTTCCACTCCTGGCTGGGCCCCCAGTTTTCCCCCACGGGCCTGTCCTTCTAAGGAGGCACAAGCTCCAGAGGGTAAAGTCCAGGGGGGAAACATTCAGGGAGAAGAGTTTTGCTTCCAGCAGGAGAGCCAGGTATATGGGGGAAAGGGGAGGAATCAAGGAGATAAAAAGGGTGTGTGCATGTGCATGTGTGTATGTGATTTAGAGGTGCCCATGAGCAGTCTGGGGATATCATCCCTGCACAAGGGGCAGTTTGGAGAGGGGAGGAGAGTGGGCAT